GCAGGTCCATCTAAAGGTCGGGTCCATCCAAAGGACCGGGGGCGGGTCCATCTAAAGGTCGGGTCCATCCAAAGGACCGGGGGCGGGTCCATCTAAAGGTCGGGTCCATCTAAAGGACCGGGGGGCGGGTCCATCTAAAGGACCGGGGGGCGGATCCATCTACGGGGTCAGTACCTTGTTGATGAGCGTCATGGTGAAAATGAGAAGCTCCGTGTCGGCGCCGTTCTTCTCATCCAGGATATCCATGATATTCGTCCATGGCGTCACACCTGTAACAGACACGCCTGGTAACCATAGCAACACATCTGACCAGCAAAGCACTGCTTCTCAGCAGGATGAATCATCTCCATCAACATCAGAAGCTCTGCAGCTCAGCTGCCTCGCTGAACAAGGTGTGTTTTTGTGCTCCTGTTTTGGCATCAGAGTGAGGACATCTGGCTGCTTCCTTTAATGCTAACGTTTAGTTGAGCAGAGTTCGCCCACCCACCTCTGGAACAAGCAGTTCCCCTCTAAAGCAGAAGGTGGCAGCAGTGATATCATCATGTACAACATCCCACTTTGACATTTTAACATTAGTAAATTAACAACAAACAAAAATACAGTAATTATTATTCACAGTCAAAGAGGAAAACAGAATTCTTGCCCTTTTAATAATCTGTTCTTATATTTAACAGGGTACAGTTTGTATTGTAGGTGTCTTTGTGTAATTAACGATAAAGAACAATTGCTCAACCCATTTAATGCATTATTTTGAACTATAAATTAATTTAAACACCACTTTGGTATAAATATGTTGATTAATTTCATACTAATTAACAGACTGTCTCAGTTTCTTTTCACACTGTTTTTCTATGAGCTGCAGAACAGCCAATCAAATTAACCAGATTTTTAAAAATAAATATGCCCCCTAACCTCTCAGGTAGATGAACTTTAAAATACTCAACTAAAAAAAATCCAAAGACAGGAAGTGAATAAGAAAGACAGAAAAACTTCCAGGTTTGAGGTTTTAATTGCGTCGTTAGGAGTCATCGGTCAACTTAAGCTAAACCTACCATATTTAAAAAATGTTCATCTGCAGTATTTTAATTAAATATAAAACAGAATATTCAGATTTGTTTAAATAAAAGATTTGAAAGGATTGAAATTCAAACTCACTGACAATGACTTGCTCCCACCTCTAGTCCTCACTATGTATGGCAAGAAGAGACCGTGTGTGTGTGTGTGTGTGTGTGTGTGTGTGTGTGTGTGTGTGTGTGCGTGCGTACCCCTCATGGAGTCCACCGTGTTGACGGCGTTGATCAGCAGAGGACTGTTGGACTCTGAATACTCCACAAACACGATGAGAAGCTTCAGAGCCGTTTTCACCAGCAGGCGAGACTGGAAAACACCCAGACTGACCATCAGATGGCGCCACAGCTCTGCTAATCACAGCTGCAGTGACTCACAGCTTTGGGTCTTTCCTATTAGCGGTTTTTGGGCTCACCAGACTGGCCGTCAGCGTGTAGAGCCACTGCACCGTCTCGTTGTGGTTTATCACTCCGTTCATCCCGTCAACGAACAGCATGATCTGACTGAGAGCTGAGGACACAGAGGGACGGAGGAGCTTCGTCAGGAGTCCGCCTGCCAGGAACAAACCTATAATCTGAGGAGCTGACTCTGCTCTCTGCGGCTTCTCTGGAAGCGTGAACAACCAACTGTTTCCATCCTCAGGAGAGGAGCTACTGCTGCTCAACGCAACCATGATCTCTGAAAAGGTTGATGTCCTCTGCTGGCGTCCCTGAAACACGAACACTGCTTGCTTCCTTTCCAGTTCAGCTGCTGGTTCTGATGGGTTTCTGCAGAGAATCTATGAAACCCTGCAGCTGCTGCTGGTTTCAGATCTCTGCAGAGTTTTCTATCCTTCAAAAATGGAGAGAAGCAGCTTCAGGAAAACCCGGCAGCTTTCTGGACAATCAGGGAGCCACCAGGGCAGAGCTTCCCCACCACTGGCAGCATGTGGCTATACACAGGGAGCCTGGCTGAAGGTCTGCAGGAGGAGCAGAGGACTAGACTAACCCGAGTACCTCTCCTCCTGATTGGTCAGGATTATTTCTTCTCACAGCGTCATAAGGACAAACATCTGAACCCGGCGAAGAGCCGACGTTACAAAACGTCTGGAAACCGAATCATCATCCTGATCCAATCAATCCACAACAATTAATAATCATCCAAACTCCTCTTATTCGTTTCAGTTCTTCTGCAGGACTGAACCTTCTAGAGAGCTGATCACAGCAGAGACGCTTCCTGGTCTTTGGTTCCAGAATCTCTAGTCTGAGGTTTAAACCCAGACTATAGATAAACCCAGCAGAGATCCTGGCTGTAGAACCACAGGATCCAACATGGAGCCCCAGACTGCAGCAGCCTCACCTCTCAGGATGTAGTTCTGATAGTTGTGGTCGGCTTCAGCTCCAACTTTAATGAAACACGTCAAACCTTCAGAGGCAACAAACTCTGGGACCAGATCTTTATCATCCTGCAGACAGAAACCATCCATTAGCAGCTTTTCATCCCTTTTCTACGGAACAGGATTAGGGCCACTGAAAAAAAAAAAGCTAACTGATTTTTTAATTTTATTTCAGTTTAACATGGGAAAAAGTCAGAATTCTGACTGAATTCTGACAATAAAAAAAGTCAGAATTCTGAGAAAAAAAGTCAGAATTCTGTGAAAAAAGTCAGAATTCTGAGATTAAAGTCAAAATTCTGAGATTAAAGTCAAAATTCTGAGATTAAAGTCAAAATTCTGAGATTAAAGTCAGAATTCTGAGATTAAAGTCAGAATTCTGTGAAAAAAGTCAAAATTCTGAGATTAAAGTCAAAATTCTGAGATTAAAGTCAGAATTCTGACTTTTTTCCCATACTATACTGAAATAAAATAAAAAAAATCAGTTATCATTTTTTTTTTTTTTCAGTGGCCCTAATCCTCTTCCGTACTTTTCTCACAACATTCCTATAAAAACTTTGCTTTATTCCAGTTTAGAGAAGTTAACCTCTGGTGAGCAGAGGAAGGAACCTCGGATTCATGATCGAAACGTTAAAAAGGAAATCTTTAGTTTCATTTTTCCTTCTTTAAACTTCCTTCAGAGCTACAACCTGCTTCACCTGGACCTAAAAAAAAGATCAGCTTCCTTTATGAAGGAGTTCTTAATCCAGAAACCTCCTATAAAAATAGATCCTCTGTGTTTACAGCTAATAAAACTCCTCCAGGAGGAGGAACCAACCAGGTGAAAGTTACCTGGAAGAGCTGCTTCAGGGAGAACAGACACTTCCTGAGTTCTGGGCCTTTGGAGTTGTACAACCTCTCTGAAACACAAGAAGAAGAGAAACAGGAAGTGAGGTCAAAGTCAGGTGAGTTTAAATGAGTCACTAGTGTAACTTTATTAACACCGAGTTCAGGTTTAATCTCTCTTTTGGTAACGAGGAGCATCAGAGTCATCAGCTTACAGACGGAACATCAGCTGCTTTTAGCAGAACTTCTCTCCAACTTCATGTGAATAAACTGCAAACCGTTAAAGTTCTGCAGAAACCGACCAGAACCAGAACCGCAGCAGGTCTTAACAGGTTAAACCTGGATGAGAAAAGCTGTTCTATAAACGGATCCTGAATGTTTTAGGAAGAATTCCGACCCGATGTCGTCTGGATGAGCTCACAGCAGAACCAGGTTTAACTGGAGCCCAGTTCACTGGTGCTGGTTGACTGGAGGCTCTGGTTTATTTGGATCTCCTCCTAACATCCCAGCCACCGACTGGCAGCAGCCATCCAGGCTTCATATGAGCTGCAGAGCAGGCGTCGACACGCTGAAGAATGAGCTCCTTACGAAACTTTTTGGGAACCTCAGCCACCCGACAGGCATGGACACGCAGCATCCTGAACCCAGCAGGGCTGCAGAATGACCTGCAGCAGCAGAGCAAACACACTGCAGCTTCTGACATCATCCCCTCAGAGACGTTCACATGCAGCTCTGAGCCAAGATGGCCGCCAGCCAGCACCAGTTTCCGCCGCAACAGCTGAAGCCTGGAGGAGGATTATAAAGCGCTATAAGTGTTTAATGATGGCAGCTGACTGCTCTGTCCCTGTCTGAAGGTCAGAGGACTCCAGTTACTGCAGCCGAACAAACCAGTCAGACCAGCATGGAGGCCAGAGAGAAAGCAGCAGATTAAAGGATTAAATCGCTCTCCACATGTTCACGAAACAAAACACTAAAATCAACTTTAGGGTTTAGGCTGCAGTAAGCAGATTCATGTAGAGAAAACTGATATCTGGGGTTTTTCAGATTAAGCAGTCTGCAGGTGAGAACCTTCCTGGTCTTCAGGCAGGTAGGAACCAATGACCCCCCGGTTCCTGGCTGCAGTTTGCATGAAACAGACCCGGAAATGCAAACCTGCAGTGTGCAGCTGGCTGCAGCAGAAAATGTGCAGGGTCATACTGCAGCTGCAGGAATGCAGGAGAACGGGACAGAGACGTGGCTCCACTCCCTCAGCAGATTGGAATCAGTCCGTCTAAAGGCTGCAGTTACGAAACAGCAGAAGCATGTCGAGATCTGCGAGCTTCTGGGAAAACAAAGAGGCTCATTAACAGCTTTTATCAAGAGCATCATCCGGAACGGGCCTGAGGAACCAATCGAGATCCGTCCTGCAAGACAAACGGCGCTCTAAAGAGTCATCATCCTAAAGATGGATGGAATATGGAAGCAGAGAAGGATGTTTGTCCTGAACACACAGGAAGTGAGGCCGATAAACACAGAGTGGTATTTCCTGTTAGTGAGTTAGCAGCCGGGCTGCAGAGTGAAGAAGAATGGAACCGAGGACGTTATTTAGACCAGAAACTGTAACAATAGAGGAGAGAAGAAGGATTCATTCAGAGGAGCCCGGAGCCTTCATCCGGTCTGCAGCAAACACCATCAGAGCTGCAGATCAACGACTCTGCTGAAGGCCAGAGAGATCAGAGCTTCCACAGCGGATCGCTCATTAACCTCCATCTGAAACATCTCTCTCTGCAGCTGATCTCCAGCAGCAATCAGCAAAGCCGACATGCGGGGCACCTCAGGGGTCCGTTCTTGGCCCGCCGGTGGTCTCCCTCTGTCTAATGTCCGTCCTTCAGCTTCTAGATCAGGGGTCTGCAGAGATGGCAAAAGTACTCACTTTCCGTACTTGAGTAAAAGTACAGATACTTGTGTTAAAAAATACTCTGGTAAAAGTGGAAGTACTGATTAAACTTCTTTACTCAAGTAAAAGTAACAAAGTACAGGCTTGTAAATTTACTTAAAGTATAAAAGTAAAAGTAGAAACCACTTTTTTCATGCCGTTGCCTACATTTTAAATGGATGTCTGCCAATAGGACTAGATCTCCGTTGTGTTCATTTTCAATCATCTCGTCGTCCATGCTACTATGCTAACGCCACCGCCACCAAGCTGCAATGATTTGCCGCCAATGAATACCGCCGAATCTGTCGATTCATCTTGTAGTGGTGCGTCAAATGCAACGTAGATTCCCATCCAATTAGATTGAATTTGGTATTGATGACGTGAAAAATAATAACGGTAACTCCATTGAAATGATTCAAAACTAAAGTAACGAGACAATTTTTAAAATGTAAGGAGTAGAAAGTACAGATATTTGTGTAAAAATGTAAGGAGTAGAAGTAAAAAGTCGCCATAAAAATAAGTAGTAAAGTAAAGTAAAAATATCAGAAAAATCTACTTGAGTACAGAAACGAAGTATTTGTACTTCATTACTTCCCATCTCTGGGGGTCTGCAACCTTTCATATCCAAAGAGCCGTTTTGCGCAGAGTACAACCAAATAAAAGATGTTTAGAGCCGCAAAATATACCACGACTTTTTCTAGAAAAGCTCTTTTTTTTTATCTTGTAAAGGAAATTAGTTGTTGCCTTCTCAAACAATCAATTCATACATTTTTAAATGTTAACGTATAATTTTCAAGCTAATTCACAGAAAAATGTCTCTTAAAACATATTTGTGGTTCTTTTAATTAAATTAAAATAATTTAATCTCATTCTTTTCCATCTTATAAAAAACGCTTAAGCTGTTGATAGCGGTATATATTGTAGTAAATTATTTAGCTTTTTATATAGATTTTAGCCACTATTAAGAGCCGCTGGAGACGGTCCAAAGAGCAATATGTGGCTCTGGAGCCGCAGGTTCTAGATGGTTCCCTGCTGCAGCAGGTGACCTCTACTGGCGGCGAACCAACAGCTTCATGCATCTAAAGCAGCGGAACGCAGAGGAGAGGACGATATGCTGATGATGCAGTTTTCATGCCTTAGAGTTCTCTATTTAAACCTCTTAGTTCTTTCCTGAAAGGAGCTGATGCCTCTTCTGATAATCTTTTGATCGTGTCTCTCGATCACGTCTTGAACCGGTTATCTACCGTTCTGGGCTGCAGATATGAGTTTTGATTCTGTAAGAACTCGTGACGTTTAACCGGATCCCTGCTGCTCTGCGCGTGTTTTTAGCTCATAACGACCAAAGGAGTCAGAGACGGGACACGATCCAGACTCTGCATCAAAGCAGCGACAACAAAAGGAGGAAGGACGCTCATCGGGGCGCCTTCTGATGTGTCCACCTCACGCCAAGCTGACAGCAGATTAGAGTCAGAGCCCGGTCTAAACCCGAACAATCGAATTCTGTCCAATCAGAGCCAGGCTGTGGGTTCTGCTGGGTTCCAGGTTCTCCTCAGACTGGGTCTGATCGGAACTGATATGAACGTTCGGGTCAGGTTCAAAGGTCACATCCTCTGTCCCGACTGAGGCTGCCTTAGATTTGTTTACTCGTCGTCATGGTTACCCCATACCACGGCGTACGGAGCTGCAGCTCCCCTGCATGCAGGCGTGTTTCAGAGCAGAGCTCCGGGTTCTGCTGGGTCAAACTGGATCTAAATTTAGCCTCTGATTGTTTCCATATCTGCCTGAAAAAAAAACAAACAGCCACGGTTTCTGGTTTCTTCTCAGTGGAAGAAGCAGAACCAGGAGAGGTGACGTCACCTCCTCGTGAGTCAGCGAGCTGCTGATCTCAGACGCCTGCCTGCGAGGCTGACGAGGCATGCTGGGAAAGCCCCTCCTGCAGGAAGGGCGTGGCCATGCCGGCCGGCGGGGAGGAGAAGTTCAGGGATGAAAGGAGGACGGATTCTGACAGAAAAACACCTCTGGCTTCAGGCGGAGAGCCGACACCTTAATTACACCCTCACAGAACCGGCCCGTTAGGCCCTGCCACAGAGAAACACCAGAACTTCCAACTGGATTGGGTCAAGAAGTTCACATCCGAGATAAAACCTAAAGCCACAACAATGATTAAACAGCTGCAATAAAAGCAGAACCGGGAGCTGCAGCATTCCTGCGCCTCTGGCCCAAAGTTCAGCAGAAAACTGGAGGCTGGAACAGGAAGAGAACCGCAGCCCTCTGGGCTCCGATAACAACGAGCTAAAAATAAAGAGCCCTCCCCGGGGAAAAACACAGAAACGGGTCATTCTGAGCAGAACCAGATAAGGCGGACCTCGCTGCAATAGCTGCTGACCAGAGCTGCAGTTCTGCTTTCCTCAGAACTCCCTCCAGATGATCCAGGAGCTGTTTCTGCACAGCTCTGCTAAACAAACTGTTCTGAAGGTCCAGATCCTCCACCAGCCTGGAGGGTTTGGACCTGCAGGAGGAAGCTAAGCTAAGCTGCTCTGGAACATCTCCAGATGTGAAACATGTCTCCATCCTGCTCTTCTGTGATCAGACCTCCAACCTTAACCCTCTGAGCAGAGATCAGGAGGGTCCAGACCTGCACCTAAACATCAGGTCACATCTGCTCTCCTCATACTAACAGCATAAAAGCAGATTCTCGTCTCCATGGACCAGAGGAGACGATGAACTAGAATAAAACTAACAGCAACATTCCCACAGAGATGCCATCCTGCTGACGGAGCTGGCAGCTGGACAGGAGGAGGAGGAACATCTCCTGATGGCATCTTTCCTCTGAGTCATTGCTCCTCGCTCTGGAGAAAACGATGTTTGGAAATATTTACCCAGGATGAAGTGAACACGAACAGAGAGCTGAGTCCTCAGGATCAGGATGGGCTTCTTTCCCTTCCTGTGGAAAAAGCAAGAAACCTTCAGTCAGCAAAAGCATCCAAACCAGCAGGCCCAGTTCTGAGCCCAGATCCGTTTTATTCAAACAGGCCGATGCTGAGATTAGAGGAAGAACGGAGATTAAACACGGGTTCTACGTCATCTCCACGCTGGTTTAACGTCCCAACAGAAACATAGGAGCAGACAGCAGAGAAGGAGGAAGCTTTTCTTACGCCACGTCTTCGTAGAAATTCTCCAAGTCGTCCCGCTGCTCAGCCAGAGAAGAGTCCAGGTCCAGGTAGCTCCCGCTTGGAGACACCTGCAGGGTGCAGTCTTCTAACTGGAAGACAGAATCGGTTCCATTAAAGCCTGTTAAAGCCTACGGTGTCCCTCAAGGACGCTATTTGGGATCATTTTTGTTCTTTTTAAAACACTCCTGCTTTTTGGACCGACTCCCATAAGATTTCAGCTCTTTGTTATGCAGACGACATACAGATTTATACGTCTAATTTAGAAATGCATGATATTGGGATTTTGGCCGATATGCCGATATTTTAAAACTCAT